AAATCTCTCTTAAATTCCTTTCTCTTATCTCCTGTTATTCCTTTAATTTTTCTCTCTCTCATTCTTCTTATTATTCATTAAATTTTCTGTCTATTTCCTTTTGACTAAGTTTCATTAATCTCAATAAATCTTTGATGAATGAGTATTCAGCAAAGTAATAATGATGATAATAAGGATTAATGATTTATGCCATTTTATATGGGCTGAAATACTAATTCTTGACTTGCAGATACAGTTACTAGTACTACAGGTGTAGTCAGTACTGAAGAGATGCACTGAGGCACTAGCTTTGTGATGACGTGTATGCTTGTCCTGTAAGGATTTCATTCTATTATCCTCAAATGTGGAAGCTGCTTTGTGACATTTACTTCTCTATATATGGGTCTGTCCATGGTGGTATTTCCATATTGAATACCTTATGGTTGGCTTTCAGAATGTCTTTATATCCATTATATACGAGTATGGGCTGTCCTATGGTGTGAAGTCCCTTACTTAACTCACTGTAGAATACCGCCTTTGATATGTAGATATCCTCCATGCAAACTGCACATTCAACTCAAAAAAGCTAGGCTCTGTTGAATTTGCTCTCAATGCCATTATGATTTGCCTCTATATTACCTCACATTTTGAAAGTTAAATCCATTATATCCTGGTTATGCCGCCTCAAGTAGGGCATAAATTTAAAGCTTGAACATTTATTTGTTTTACATTTCACAACTAAAATTATTCTTATTAATTTTTTAAATAAAAAACGCAACTGCCCATCCTGGGGCTCAAACTCATTGGCCTCTGATTAAGGTAAGAAACCCAAAACTCACTATATATGTAATTGGTTAGGCCATATATCCTCTATATACTTGTATTTAATAGTTTTGTAGATACAACCTAAAATCTTACTTGCCCTTTCACTAGCAACAGCACATTGCTTAGATAGCTTAAGAGTCTGATGAACCAAAATACCAAGATCTTTTTCTTCCATAACATTTTTAAGGTTATTCCAACCAAAATTATACTCATGATTCAAATTCTGATATCCTTCATGCGTTACCTTGCATTATTATAATTAAAACTATCTGTCATTTATTTGCTTATCTAATCAAATAATTGAAATATTTTTGTCATGTGACAGCAGCATCCTCACAGCCAGCAATACTAAAACCTTAATATCAGTAGTAAATCTGAACAATTTATTGACTATTCATCCATCTATGTCATTGAAGTAAATCAAAAATAACAAAATTCCTAACAATGAGCCAGCGGGTACCCAACTTATGACATTAATTAATTCAGTTTGACTGAACTCCGTTTATAACAACCTCCTGCTTTCTTTAATCCAGCCAGTTTTTTATCCAATGAGCCAACCTAACCTCATGCCTATGAAGATAAGTTTAACAAGCCTTTTATGTGGAATCTTCCTAAGAGTTTTCTGAAAATCCAGGTACATTAAATCTATACCCGTACCCTTATATACCTAAGTAGTAAACTCTACAAAGAATGCCAAAAGATTAGTAAGGAAGTATTTTTCTCCAGTGAAACCATGCTGAGTATATAACAAAATTTTTAACTTCTATCAGATTTTCAAAAACATTTCCCACCACTGATATAAGGCTAATAGGCCTATAAGCACTGGGACAGTTTTCATAAAGTAGCTCTTCAACAGATTGGCAAGGTAGATCTTGATCTTCCCATCCACTTTCATTTTATAGAACACTCTTTGACAAGACAAGTTATTTTCCTCTATCTCCATTATTACAATACAAGCTGTGAAACTCACTTTAGAAATCACCATTATATGCTCTTTATGGCTAAACTCAGAATCAAGCAGTCTAACTTTAGTTTTTTCACTTTTACTTTCACTAACTTACTTTAATTGATGCCTATATATATATATATATACTGTCAGACTAAGGCCTAGAACTTTCTATAAACTACAAGACGCTATGATGTAACAATACTTACTTAAAGCAATGAGAAAAATTCAGAAAGTTTGAGTAACATAACGTCAATCCATAACAACTGAAGTACACAACCAATGATTCATAAACAGTTATGTAACCAAACTTGCCATAACTCTCACTTCTGAAACTAATTTATTTTAATGCTCATGCTATGTAAACAATATAAATCATAATGGTCACATTAAACTTAAAAATTAAATGAAACAGTCATGTATAACATTAAGACCATCTTCAAGAAAACTATTTACAATATTTTTTACACTTTATACAAAGACTGTTTTGGCTGGTCTATCTGTGAAGATATCTGCATACTGGCACAGTAGCTCTTGTAGGTCTGTCTTCTGCTTGTCAGTCAGTTCTTCACTTATGCTGATGTCCTTGTATGTCTCATCTCCACCCAGTGGTCTGGTAGGTTTTCATCTTCCATGACAAAGTCACTATCTTCTGGTTCTACATCTATGTCCATGCCCATATGTGCCTCAATAGCTACACCCTTGAGGTCGTCTTCCCTCTCAAAGTAGCTCTTCAACAGATTGGCAAGGTAGATCTTGATCTTCCCATCCACTTTCATTTTATAGTCCCTTCTCTTGACCACTTCCCACACTTCAAAAGGTCCTTTCCACTGCAGGGTGAGTTTGTTGTTATCCTTAAGTAGCAGAATGAAAACATTCTGTCTGACCTTGAAATGTCAAACCTTGGCCTTCTTGTTATAGAAGTGCTTCTAACTGCCTTGAGCTGCATAGAAGCTCTTTCAAGCGAGTTGACAGGACATTCTGGTATGTGTTCCTCACTTCTAACTCTTCTTCTCCTGTCCATAGCTCTTTCAACATGTGCATCAGACCATGTACCATTCTTCTGTACAGCCACTTGAAGGATGAAAATCCTGTAGTTGCTTCTGGGACTTCTCAGTAAGCAAATAATACTACCTGCAGGTACCTGCCCCAGTCACATGGTCTTTCTTGGCACATCTCCTTCAGTATATTTTTTAAGTCTCTATCACAAAGTCCATTACATCTGGTAAAGAGTTGCCTAGTCTTGATGAGTCTGCACACCTCCTCTTGCATCAGTTCTGAGGTAAACTGAGGACTATAACTTTCCACGTTATGATATAAGAATACTTCCTTAAAGCAACGAGAAAAATTCAGAAGGTTTAAGTAACATGACGTCAATTCATAACAACTGAACTATACAACCAATGATTCATAAAAAGTTTTGTAACCAAACTTGCCATAACTATCACTTATGAAACGAATTTACTTTAATGCTCATGCTATGTAAAAAATCTAAATCATAATGGTCACATTAAACAGTCATGTATATCCAACATCACCGTTGTTACTTCCTTTTCTAAGTCTTATTATTATTGGCTTTCTCAAATCTTATTGCATGTACTTTTCAGCTGCTACTTAGGAGTTAACTATATTTATTTATTACTTCCAGCCGCCTGTTCCATGTATTTGAAAACTGACACTGGCTAGTTATATGTTGTGTTCTATACACCTCGTAGTATGTTTAATATGTTATTTTTCTTTGTATTTACTGTATAATTTTATTAGCCATATAATTTGTTACTTATTAATTTTTATCTTTATAAACATTAGTTTTTTGCTGTACTATCAGTATTGACCTGCTACTTGACTCTATAGCTAAACTGTAACATGTCATAGTAATTTATCTTATATGTCAAGCTATTCTAAAGTTGCACTGTTGAAGCTATTTAATTAAAGGGCTTTCACTGGTCACAAGACATTTATACAGATGATTCTGTAAAGTTTCACAGTTATTTAAGAAATGTTAAATTGATGATATGAAAATTCAAATTGCAAGCCACTATTACTTATGTGTTCCATAAATAAGGTATACATTCCTTATGCTTTCTTTAATGTTACCTTCATTAACAGTATTGGTTAGAATGTGTAATATCTCTATCTATCTATCTATATATATATATATTTGTACTGTTGTTATATTTTTATTGTAAAGATTATTTTGTATTGTCAGCTTAGCACATTAATTTAAGAACAATCTAAATTTCCTAAGCTGTCCAAACCTTGCGAGATATTTTTAGGATCATGGTTAAAAATATTGCTAACAGAAAGGGCTCTAATCATTACTGGGTTGGTTTGTAACTGTGACCTATGTAAGTAATTTGCTTTGGTTAGAAGCTAATATTACACATCATAGAATTTCATTAGGAATTAAGTCACTATACTCTATGCTGATGTAAGGTTTTAAATAATAAGAATAAAACACTAGATAGAAAACTATATAAAAAAAAAGAAGTTTTTTTTTTACTTGGTCCAGATCCCATACTCTGCCAAACTGAAAACTTGAATAATATGAACAAGTCGTATCTAGATATTGTTTAATGTTCTAATTAATTATTAATTCAGAAATTACAAAGTTGAATAATTTTATAATCAAATACTCAGACATTTTGCAAGTCAAAACATCACAGAAGTTAACAACAAATTCCATAGAGAAACCATATACCTATGATAACCATTGGATTTATGTCACAAAATAAAATGTAATGCAAAACATCACAGGTATAAATAGTGCAACATTAAACATTTTCCTTACAACTGTGTGTGAAAGCAATAATCAATAATAATTTAACAACATGTCAACATTTCTTTTACTGCAAATAAAAACAAAAAAGCAACAACAGCTTTTCAGATTAAAAGCACAAATAAAGAAAATCAATAATAAGACCATTTTTCTTCATACAAACCATTTCTGAAGGATTATAGATGAGTTGAAAAATAATTGTGCACTTTCTAGACATTTGTTGTTCAATAAACAACTTACACTATGAAAAACAAGTGTTTTACATAAACTATACAAAGGCAAAAGTAGGTATTACATAGCAAAAAATGAGTTAAATGTTAGTCATACATGTAGCAAAAAACAAAACAAAAAATTAGAGAAAGGAAGCTCAGGAAGAAACAAGTTAAACACAAGTAAAATTTGTTTAACTGAAACAAAAGCTGGCACAGATTTTAGATATTTACACAAATACACATTTTTATTCTCTTTCATTCCAAAAGATAGGTTAAAGCTATTCAACTTTCCATCTATGTGGTATCACAGTTACTTCACAATTTAATGTGTGAATTGTAAAATGGAAAAATATAAACTTGCACTAGATAACAAAATCAATACCTTGGTCAGCTGAGAACTAAAAATAGCTTGATGTAGTTTTCATATAAAGACACATATTTATACTATTTCCAACTAAATGTAGAACTTGAGTTGCTTCACATTACAGTAGTTCTTAGCTAGGTTTTGTTACCTAATGTGAGATTCATGTCACAATTCACTATAGTGAGTGCTGCATTTAGATGGAAAGATGAATATTCCCAGACTCTACTATGCAAAGAAGAGTATAAAGTTCTGTGTTTATCTCAAAACATTTTCAAAATCTAAAGTCTTATCTTGTTTTATCTTCTGCAATTTTTATCAAAGGCACAGCTAGGTTTACATGATGAGAAGTGACACTGCTTGAAACTGTTTCAGATAGTTATGGAGTTTGTTGCTTATGTTGTGAGCTTACATGTTTTTATTTAAATATACAAAAAAAATCAAAAATGTTGCCAAATCATTAAAAAAATCACCTTAGTAATAAAAGAATATACTACACATTGCTCTAGAGTTAAAACATTTCTAAATGAGTTTGGCATGTAAAAAATATCAAACAAAAAAAATTAAACAGTCATATCATTAACATGAAAAGGTTTCATCAAATAATTATTCCATATTACAACTAGCACAGATGAGCAAAGAAAAAGTAAAAACAATATATCTAGTATTACTTAGAGAAAACTGAAACTAACAAGAAAGTGTTAAAAGCATGTAAAACAAATATGTCAATAAATACATATGCACTGCCAATGATTACTTAGATTAGAGTGTACTTAAGAATTTTGTCTGGAAGGCAATAATAGAAAGTACATTTAAACACCATATGTTATGAGAGTTAAGATTAGCTTTACAGCAATAAACATCAGTTGGCAAGATTTTTTGTTTATGTTATATTTTTATTTAAAGAAGGATGATGAAGAGCACTAGCTTGAAACATATATATATATATATATATTTTTTTTATTTAATGAAGGATGATGTTTCAAGCTAGTGCTCTTCATCATCCTTCTTTAAATAAAAATATAACATAAATGGCGATTGTTCAACCTATTATTTTACTTTGATCTTTTTTGTCTTTGTGGGTTTAATTTTACATTTTTTT